CCACGCCCCCTATAGCAAAAAACTCTAAAAAAAAAAAAAAAAAGAAAGAAAGAAAGAAAGAAAGCCAGGAAGGCTGACACACCCTTTTATCCGAGTGGAGGGCACTCATAGGGGAGGGAGAGAAGGGCAGGACCTTCCTAGGAACCTGCTCTTCAGGGACCTGCCTTTTCCCATCTTCTGGTCTCATATTGGAAGATGATCAAAGAGGGTATGTGTGACCTCAAACCCCGAGAGTCTTGTGTTTCTTGTAGGTGTGTAAGTCTTCAGTTTTGTGAGCAGGGCGAGGCTGGGACAGGGTGGGGCTGATTGCATTTACAGCAGGGATAGAATGATATAAATGTGCAGAGCTGAGGCCCTCAGGGGGGTTGTGATGGTGGAAATTTGGGCTTCACAAAAATGTGAGGACAGAGCACACAGCAGTGGGAGCTGGGGAGTCAGGAAAGAAGCACAGAGCTATATGGGTAAGGGGAGTCAGGTGAGGGCACCATTGTCTGTGGATCTCACATCTAGGTTGAGAGGAACAGGAACCCTGGTAAGAATCCCAGACCCTCGGTGTCATACAGAACTCTGAGCTGTGTTGGGAAGGAATGGCATAGGTGGAGGGGCCCAGGGTAGAGTTCTAACTATGTTAGCAGTTGATGGCCCACTCAATAGGGACAAAGAAGGTTTAAAGTGAGGCCTCACACAGGGGTGGAAGCCAGGCAATGCAAGAAGCCTGCTGCAGTCTTCCCAGGGTTGCCACCCCAGTACCTGGCTTGAAGTGCTTCTCTTCTCAGAAACAGCCCCTAAGCTCCTCCCTGGCTTCTTGTTTCTGCTCTATTTCTTACCTCACATTCTGACTCTAACTCCCCCTCCTCCCAATACACACACACAAGCCTCTGGAACCACACTCATCTCTTGGTGGAGGGTGTGGAGGTTCAGCCTCTTGTGCTCTGCCCATCGTCCTTCCTCTCCTCCCTTCAACATTCCATGTCTGCCTTCAGCCTCAGCCTCCTTAACTTTCATGGCCGAAAGGAGACTTGGGAGGGCTCTTCTGCCTCTGACCCAAAACTGCGTCTACAGCAAAGTCTTGAGAAGGCCACTTCTTGTATACCTCAGGGCAGCTGTAGACCCCTGGTAGCCACCTCAATCTCTCCAGCACCAAAGGAGATGCCCTCCCCCACCTCTAAGCAGGAAGTAGCTTTACCCAGGACCCCAAAGACACAGAGACCCCCAACATTCCCCAGCTTGAAGAGGTTTGACCTTTAATTTGTCCCTACCCTCCCTGAATCTACCCTTGAGGATTATTGTTCTCCGTCTCCATTTGGTCTTGATTAGAGTATTATTCCATTTCTTGCTTACTTTTTCACAATCATACTCTATAAACACTTGTTGAATGAAAGACATAGCTTATGCTACCATAATTTCTTTCTGGCACTAGGTAGAGTAGAAAAATGAAAAGAAAAATAAATTCTGTCCATAGGACCACACTTCTTTTCACTGGAGTTAGTTTGAGTATGTAGTGCTCTAAAAATCTGTTTCATGATTCATCCTTTTCTTTCTTCCCTCATCCTGTCGTCTTTTCCATGGTGTAAATTTTAAATTCATAGATTTTTATTTCACCAACCTGATGTAGTGTGACAGTTCTCTTTCATTTCACTTTGTGTGACATTGTCTTTTCCTTTACTCAAGAATATGTATTCTTCCTAATTGGATATGCGGGCATTCAAATCAGATTATTGGGATTAGCCAAAAGAAGGCTTTTTACAGAATTTTGCTTCCAATACCCTTCACTTAAAGTTGTAGGATCATTTTCTTCCTTTTTGCTTTCATCCTCATTGGTTGCTAAGAGATGAAAATCACTCTTGTTTTGTCAGAAGAAACTGGACTCTGAACGCTCATTTGTATTATCTCCCTCCTTAGTATCTTCTTCCTTGGTTTCCATGACACTCGTCTTTCCAAGTCTCTCTTCCCTACCCTTAAGTGTCCACTTCTCAGTCTCCTTCACTGAATCTTCTTGAAACCTCCATAAAAGTGATAAAAATAAAAATTACCACAACTGTTATTTTTTTCAGCTCTTATTATATGCCAGGCATCCTGTAGCCAAGTCCTTTAGCTGCATTAACTCCTTTCATCTTTATATTAACCTCATAAGATAAGTATTAGCACATATTTCAGATGAGGAATCAGGCTGGAAAGTTAAAAAAGAAGAAAGAGTCAAATAACTAATTAGTAGTAGAACCAGAGGTCAGACTCCAGGATTACTGACTCTAAAATCTATACTTTCTACATGCCTTAGCTCTCAAGTGTTCATGGCACCTAATCATGTAGGTGTTATTATCCACATATGATGTATAAGGAAACTAAGGTTCATAAATTCAGAGTAATAAGACCTGCCTTTCCCAGGTGTTCCCTGTGTATGAGTGATTAGCACAGACCTAATCCATTGTAGGTGCCCAAGAAATGGCACCTAGTAGGCCTCTGCTAGAACACATTATTCTGCTAGAGAAGCATGGACAGGAAATAAAAATGATATGCTGCCTATGTTGTGCAGACAGTGCTTATTTAGTGTTAAATTGAGGAGTCTGGCTCTAGGAGCTACCCCAGACCTGGCCCCTGACAGGCGCAAGAGCAGATTCAGAAATGCCTAAGAGTTTAATGAAGAGGATGAGGAAAATGAAAACACTTACTGTTTTTCCTATTTTATTTTATAAATTCTTATTTACATTTAATTATTGTACTTCTTCATGGCATACACTGTGGTTTTTCAAAGCATGCATGAAATGTGTGATAAATCAAACCAAGAATATTACCATATATTATGCCATCTGTGCAAAAATACATAATTTTCAATGTATCAACAATACATTGTTTTCAACAAAAAAACCCTTTACTTTCTGGTTTCTGTTCCATGCTTTTTTCTTGAGCCTCTCCCACCCCCTCCCTTATAGTCTCTGGTATCCATCTCTACTATTATGTCTTCAAATCTTTCCATTTCTGCCATAGAATGCAGACATTTGGTACATATTGAGTGGGGATATACAGTGTTTGTCTTTCATAGTCTGGCTTATTTCACTTGGCATTAAGTCTTTTACATTACTTTGTATTGAATGACAGAGTCTTGCTGTTCTTTGTGGCTGAGTTCTTTTCCTTTACTCAAGAATATGTATTCTTCCTAATTGGATATGCGGGCATTCAAATCAGATTATTGGGATTAGCCAAAAGAAGGCTTTTTACAGAATTTTGCTTCCAATACCCTTCACTTAAAGTTGTAGGATCATTTTCTTCCTTTTTGCTTTCATCCTCATTGGTTGCTAAGAGATGAAAATCACTCTTGTTTTGTCAGAAGAAACTGGACTCTGAACGCTCATTTGTATTATCTCCCTCCTTAGTATCTTCTTCCTTGGTTTCCATGACACTCGTCTTTCCAAGTCTCTCTTCCCTACCCTTAAGTGTCCACTTCTCAGTCTCCTTCACTGAATCTTCTTGAAACCTCCATAAAAGTGATAAAAATAAAAATTACCACAACTGTTATTTTTTTCAGCTCTTATTATATGCCAGGCATCCTGTAGCCAAGTCCTTTAGCTGCATTAACTCCTTTCATCTTTATATTAACCTCATAAGATAAGTATTAGCACATATTTCAGATGAGGAATCAGGCTGGAAAGTTAAAAAAGAAGAAAGAGTCAAATAACTAATTAGTAGTAGAACCAGAGGTCAGACTCCAGGATTACTGACTCTAAAATCTATACTTTCTACATGCCTTAGCTCTCAAGTGTTCATGGCACCTAATCATGTAGGTGTTATTATCCACATATGATGTATAAGGAAACTAAGGTTCATAAATTCAGAGTAATAAGACCTGCCTTTCCCAGGTGTTCCCTGTGTATGAGTGATTAGCACAGACCTAATCCATTGTAGGTGCCCAAGAAATGGCACCTAGTAGGCCTCTGCTAGAACACATTATTCTGCTAGAGAAGCATGGACAGGAAATAAAAATGATATGCTGCCTATGTTGTGCAGACAGTGCTTATTTAGTGTTAAATTGAGG